GAACAACAAAGACTACGAATAGAGCAAAAGCGAAGGGAAGGGAAGGGATAGAGAGGAAGAGGGTTGGATGAGAACAAATCACATGAAGCATAAGGTTTTGTCTTGTCTTTGTCGTGTAACATAAGGGATTTGAGTTATTTTGTGGCAACTTTTAATATTGAATGCTGGACATTTTTTGAAAGCAAGTTTGTAAGAACCTTTACGTGAGTGACGAGTAAAAGGGGGATACTTTTAAAATACTGTATTCCAGAACGAGTGCAGTGTTGTATATTAAATGATCCCTTATGTTACGTCATAGTCATTAACATATTGGGAATATAGACCTTCGTATCTCAAAGACCAAACATGCAAATGAAATATTATTTTCACAATCAACTATTCACTATTTAAAGAATCAATTCTGAAAATATTGTGTAAAGGCTTATAAGCACTTTAAGAACAAATTTGACTTTGTTTYCTTACCATTCAGCAACTTCTTCACCACGACCACAAAACCGTGCAAATTCATCAATACCTTCCCCAGTAACGACAGTACTGTCTACATCAAAACATACTGCATCATTATGCCGCCAAAYATCCTTTGTTCGTTCCTCTGTTAGTATATTCATTCTCGTTTTATTCGCAAAAATTTTCTGGTCTGGTCATTTAACGACAAGAATACGAAGTGAACCTTGAACCCTGGAAGCATTCAAGCGACTACCACAGGAAACCCAAATAACAAGGTTTCGCTTGACGTCATTTCCTGTCCAACCTCTTTCCRAGGGCCTTCTCTTCTCGCTTTGTTTTTCAAGATTCATACAAAATCAAGAGGAAGAGTATTTGCATAATAAAACAGGCCATAAYCCTGACACTCCAGTCAAGATAAAAATCAGTTGTGATGGAGCCAAGTTCTCAAGGRCAACAAATGTTTTCATCATGTCCTTTTCTTTGCTGCAAACTGGCAAAARTGCAGCTATGTCATCAAAAGGGAATATTAGTGGGGTTGTAGCTGCACCGGGTCCCGGTTTTAAGAAGCCTGGATAGTTCTATCCAAGGGATAAATCTTCATTTAGCTGATCAGTTGCAGATCCAGGACTTTTTCTATGGGGGGGGGGGGGGGGGGGGGGGGGGCACCATCACCATCATACACCATTTTTCGTTTTAGGAACAGGTGCACCAATGCAGTAGATATCAATTCATCCAGGGGAGTGCACTGCGCTGTGCCCCCTGCACTCCTCTCCCTGAGATCCGCCCCTGCTGGATTGTTAATTAAACTGAGTAAAGCAAAACGACCCATTTAATAGAGGGATYCAATTTTATTGAAGACATATCAGATCATTTTTATGCACCGAGTAGATTAGAAAGCTCCATCGCCAGAGCCACTTGGGGTCTTYAAACATTTGTAGTACTTGATTGGACCCAGATTACTGCTGACTTGACAAGTCAATCCATCCTTGCATCCACAACCGTGAAGACCCTAGAAAAACAACCAGAATACCTGACTGACTATTCGAATATCATAAACAACATTGTTTTACATATTTAAGTCATACCAGCTCAAACTGTTGGGAATTTGAAGCCAAAAACCCAGCTAAATTCTTAAACGATTTAAGTATGATATCGCTTGCGTAACATCAGCTGAAATGGCTCTAGATATCTATCGTATGCTTCATTCAAGCAACGCGTAGTTATGTTATCTTTAAATCCTTCTTTTTTGCATGCTATAAAAATAAAGCGTTTTTTGAATCTTCTTCGATAAAACCTCGAAAGAGTGACGGCTAAGCTTTATCATYAGTGGTAATGTTTTTTCCTCTTATTGTATCCTACTTCTTTTTCCTTTGATTTGTATTTTTAGAAAGCAATTTTCGTAATATTTGGGTTTAACTTGTCAAGACACTGAAACATTAATACGTTATACTCACCGAAAAGTTGCAGGATTGCCCTTCACCTCGTTTTGGTGCGCACATGTGCAGACCAGTGAGACAACAACGATCACTGCCACAGTCCTTATCTGCGGTGCTGTGTTTGCAGAACTACATAGAAATATATTTCAATTCCGACTATGTTTCATGCATCGCTAAATTTTTCAGTGCTATACTATAAGTTTTATCCTTTAGGGCCTGGTTGTACGAAGGGTGGATAGCGCTATCCGACGGATAAATCCTTATCCAGTGGATAAAGTGATGATGTTATCCACTAAATCTATCCACTAGATAATATTAATCCGTCGGATAGCGCTATCCATCCTTCGTACAACCGGGCCCAAGACCAACGGTACTATGCAGTCCGTACAAATATTCACAACATTAGAAGAGGGTGAAAACAAACTTACATCAACGAAGAATCTCTTTTCCTGTTTACCAAAGGCTACAGCRACAAACCCCAAAAGAAGTACAGCCAAAAGTGTCCTCATTTTGTTTTTCTTGTCTTGATGTCAGTTGCTCTGATCAGCGCCGAATGAACAAGTGAGTTATAATCCGTTCACTACCCATCTTATATCCTTGTGGAGGCTCCAAATTGGAAGTGACTTCACACAAACAGAATATAAAGCGTTCTAACAAGCTTTTATTACCATTGTTTCTGTATTTGCTGGTGTATGAATGGGGATTCTGTTTCATTTTTACAGCTGTGTCTAATGAGGTTTTGTGATGCTGTAGTACAAAGTTCTCTCATTGTTCCTATCTGTCCAGTGTAGTGTTCAATACAATGCCTATTATCTTCGTGTTTAATACGAACCTGACATCATTCAATGCTATAGTTAGTACGTTCTCTCATGTTAGATTGTAGTCACGATTTTGAAATGCAAACAAGGCCATAAAATGGATGATGATGATAGATGAAGTTTGCCGAAACTAGAGCAGGACTAAAAGCACCAGAACAAAGGTTTTACCAACCAAGCGCAAGAAAGCTGATCTGAGATTAACGTGGGTGTAGCGTACCGTTCATTGTTTCATTATATCGTTAGCCCAGCTAGTGTACATAGTTAATCATGCAACCATAGTATTGTGTATAGTCTCATTGCTTACTGGATTATGACAGTTGAAAGAAAAAGATACTGTACGCAACGAAAGCTGAACAAATCAACGTCTTCACYCACACGTGACCACTAAGTGGTGAKRCAAYAACTTCATTGCTTCATGCAATTCCCACTAAGAAGTTTGTTCGGGGAACCTTTTCTCTCTTTTTTTTCCCTTTTCTTTTCTTTTCTTTTTCCCGGTTACACTCATTACCCAGGGAATCGGCACGGGGGGGAGGGGGGGTAGCAGTAGCCCATTTGCCTCTCACCCCTGGGGTCTCAGGTTCGATTCCCTTAGATCACATATGAGCAGAATTAGTTGAGTCTGTTTCTTGAATCGAGGAGTGCTATTGCTTGCTCATATTCTCCGTCGATAGTCAAAGGCTCATTGCTGAAGCGTTTCTTTGAGGCTTATTTCTTTCTTTACCAGTAGTGTTTTTATGTCATGAAAACTCATCCAAGTTCGTAATCTGTTTCTGCCTTTGACATCCGCGTGATTGTCATGTCACTTTCTTTTTGATTCGTTTTCTMGTGTAATTGTCTTTGAACTAAATATGCGCGAAATTCCGCATACGGTAAAAAATATATATGTATAAGTGTTTATACTAGATATACTAAATATAGGACCAACTAACGTCCTGACTTATCCCTTCTTCCCTTTACCTCCACTTTCAATAGACGTATGAAAATTTTAAAAATACAACCCTCGCTCCCCTCTCCCTCAAAGATAACATATTGACACATCATTTTATAGTTTCATTTGCTTTATTTTCATCATGTAAGTGAAGTGACTATCAAATACGTAACAAAGTGTCTCTTGGTGTTTACTGGGTTCAGGCCTCTGGRAGACAGCGATAGTACTTGTATGAAGCGAAGCACTTGGCTACTTGGCAGTATAGGCCATCTTCACATCCACAWCCATGGTAATCCTGGAAACAAATCAACGAAATATCATCGAATCAAAACAAACCGTAGAAATCCTGGCAGCGAAAAAACTTGCAAAAAGGATTTTGTTCCTAAAAAAACTCCCCTCCGGCTCCCTCCCTCCGACTAATGGTTGACCTCTTGGTTGGATTCTATTTGGAAATCCAAAGCAATATTCAGAAGATGAGGAATGGTGAGTGGTGAGAGAGGTCTAGTGCGCATGCCTTAACCCAAAACCTCCCATCAACCATTTTGTCCAAGATATTGACCTCATAGAATTACTGTAACGAGTAGACATAAAGAAACAAACGCATGGACGTACAAACCTTGAAGTTACAGGATTGCTCGAGCCCTCGTTTTGGTGCGCAGACGCTGAGGTATTTGATACAGCAGCGATTCTTACCGCAATCAGCATCTGTGCTACATGTCTGCAAAGGAATGAAWAAATAAAGATGGCGGCAAAAAGATTGTCTCTCCCTTGATTTGAGGGTTTTTCTACAGTTTTTCTCCCTCTGCAAAACCTTACTCGCTAATTTAAAATCCGATCTGCGAGTTAGCCATGCCCTGACTTAGATCAGCCCAGAGGTTGTTTCAGGGTTCAATCTGTGAGTTAGCCATGCCCTGCCTTAGATCAGCCCATGCAGAGTTTGTTTCAGGGTTCTATCTGTGAGTTAGCCATGCCCTGCCTTAGATCAGCCCATGCAGAGTTTGTTTCAGGGTTCGATCTGTGAGTTAGCCATGGCCTGACTTAGATCAGTCCAGAGGTTGTTTCAGGGTTCTATCTGTGAGTTAGCCATGCCCTGCCTTAGATCAGCCCATGCAGAGGTTGTTTCAGGGTTTTTTATTACAACTTACGTCCAATAAGAACCGCTTTTCTTTGATTGGATGTTCCTCTTCGGTGCTTGCATATGAGAGTGCGACATAACATGCCAGAATTACCACCAAAAATACAGAACCCTTCATGTTTAACTGTACYAGAGATCAGTGAAGATGATACCAGCGTTGGAGAAAAATGAAAAAGCTCGGGAGCGTTAACTTCAAACTCTTTTAAAGCTATTTTTTGCATGCTTTTTGTGAACATTTTTTGTGTATCCTTTAATTCGCACAATGCCGTTGTAGAGTACTTCTTTGTGAAAYTAAGTGAGATGTTTTACTTGATACAATAGATAAGCATTGTGAGTAGAATTGTTTTGACGCTAGTTTCATTACTTGCATTGTTCGTCGACATTCAAATAGTGCGTGCGCGTCTTTAGAGGGTTTAAACAGCTTGTTGTGTGATTGATGTGGTAGATTGGTTCATTATAACCAGGACATGGGTTTGTTTACACAGGAGTACACCAGGTATACTGATAACATAATGGATGACAGATATAAAATGAGGTGATCTTCATCCGTTCTGGGAAAACACGATTGTTTGTTCCTTACCATCGATTCTTATTTTTTCATTTGCTTATTCATTTTCCCCTTGTTTTTTGCGTTATCCAAGCAGTGCGCATCTCATTCTTCTCCCACTACAACGACATCACATCACACCGCACTGCATGCGCTGCAGCACCCATATACACACACGACAATACCATATACCACSCTATACCACACACCACAAACCCACACGACAAGCCACACCATCCCACACCACACTGCAAATAATTTCAAAGTGTTTCAAAACACAAGAATAGGAAGTTATTTTTATCTCATTGRGTTTATTATTCAAAACGTGAGATTTACATATCACCTGAGCCCTCAGACTCTAGACAGCGGTAATACTTTAGACTGCCTAAACTCTTGTACACACGACACTCGAGTCCATCTTTACAACCACAGCCATGAAGATTCTGAAAAAATAAAAACACATTGATCAGCGCCTGTAAGTTGTCTTTCCGTATCCTGCACTGTTTTTCTTGTCACGAGATCTATCACGTGACCGAAGGACCTAATTAGCATAACATGTGACTCACCACGAGATTGCATGATTGATTAAGGCCTCGTTTTGATGCGCATATTTTCAGGTACCTCACACAGCATCTGTCTGCTCCACAGTCACCATCAGCACTGCAACGCTGCATAAAAAAACACTGGTAAATATCTTGCTACACAATTAAAATCATTTGTACTGCTGGATGCTAGTATGTGGAGTTTGCGCTTGTAGATCGATGTACATAGAATATACCTTTTTACTAATACGGCGGCCACGTAGAAAATTTACAAAGCATAGCCGAGTAGCGGGGTTACGTTTTCAAATAATATGAATTATCATATGACCCGTACGGCCCTGCTCGCGCGCTCTAATAAAACCATTGGAAAAAGTCACGTGATGGGGGCCGGACGGGTTGACGTAAGCGGGCCGGAAAAAACCGTCCGGCCCTGCTCGAATCCGCGCGCTTTCTTTTTTTTAATTATTTTTATTTTCGTGAGGGTCATATGATAAAATGCTTATTGACTGAGTTAGTTCGGGCCGTACGGGAAAATATTTGGCTCKMGGTCATTTGTACGGACCTCGCTGCGCTCGGTCCGTACGGCATCACCTCGAGCCAAATATTTTCCCGTACGGCCCTCCCACTCAGTCAATAAGTACATAGTCTTGGTTTTTTCGTATATCRTTCCAAATACCAGCAAATTCAATTGCTTTTTAGACGTGCTTCTCATTGAATTAAAAAAGCGTAAAGTTCTATAAAAAGACATCCTGACAGCTGTGCAGTCTATACATTTTCCAATAGTTGCCCCATCGGCATCCCATAATGTCTTAACTAAAACGATAGAATTCAAGATGGCCGACGTATCGGTTAAAAGGTTTATTGAGCGCAATTATAACCCTCCCTCTCCCCACCCCCCGGGGACAACATATGTTTAATTTCCAAGCTCATACTATCTGCYACGGTACAAAAGCGAAAATCTTGAATCCTTAAGCGTGAACTAAAGCCTGTTAAAGTTTGTGTTGCATGGCAAGGAATAGATGGGAAGATATCGGGAGTCATGCCCGACCTTAGTTAAACCAATGGGACCTATGAAATTAGCTGATCAAATTGATTTTCTTGGTGTACATATAATAGTGGAATTTTCTGTTGGTTGCTATATAAGGAAGTTATAAAAMCCTTATTAACTCGTTATTTAATAGCATTAATTCGAATGTTATTGCTCTAAATAGTATACTCACGTCCAAGAGCCAACGTTTGTTTCGATTGGTATCCCCTTCGATGCAGACGATGAGAGCAACAAGACAAAAGACACTGATAAATACGGCCTTCATGACTGGACCTCGGACACAAGGAATACAGATCGCAAAGTAATGGCTTCAAAAAGATCAGAACCAACACTAATCTGAKGGCTCCTTTTATAACACAATCTAATGATGTCCCACCCATGACCATTGCTATATTCGACAGGGATATATTTACTCTTCTGTCCCATAAGTTTATTTTTGATATTCAGGTGTCGCTCGTGTTTGATTCAGCCGTTCAAAGTTTAAATATGAATCCTAACTTGTTTTCGTCACTAAYGCGTGTTCTTTGCACAGCTGTCATCTCCATTAAAACATAAAGAAACCGATAAAATCAGTGACATAACCGGCTCATATAATCTCCAGTCTTCCTTTTTCACTAAGCTCGAGGTCAAGATGGAACAGGACGCGCGTTTTGAAGCGGCATGCGCCATTCTGCGAGACCGTGACAGTTTCTATGTGACTGTGTACATTGAGCGCAGCTCATGGGTCGTTCACACTATAGTCATTTAGATYGATCTAAAGACAAACCAAATGTGAACGGTCCAAAGCGAACCAAGATCGGTTTGAGATAGAGCTTGCATATGTAAATGAGATAGCTAATCGTGCTAACTGGCAAGACTAAAGCAACAATCATTATGAATGTGAATACTAACTGACGCACATACAATTCGTGAGCACGCGACTTCTAATTTTTTTTTTTTTGGAAGAGTGTAACTAGTAAAAGTAGTATGCAAAGGGATCGACATGATTTGCGGATTTTTACTTTTTGATTCATTAAAAAAGGACCATACTTCCAGACATCGAGTGCTGAATCGTTGTTTGGCAGCGCGAAGCATTTACGGCTACGCCGGAGATCTTGACCCCGACACCGCTATCCGAAGAATTACAACTGATCAGAAAACTCGGCCGAAGCCTAAGGGAGAGATTAGTAAATGTTGTCCCTACTAGTTCYCACCCGGTTTTGGTCAGACTACCTGTGTGTGTTTCTTTTTTGTACGTTTATGGTCGTTTATAGTGTGACCGCTTTTGAAAACCGAGCTCAGATAATGGACGAAGTGTGAACGAGCCATCTTTCAACCCTCATCCTTTTCTTGGCTATCTTAGAACTTTAAAAAATTGCAGCTATATTCGGTACCAGATTTGGTACGGTCACAGCATATGCAGAACAACATTGGTTCTAAGCCGATCAGGATCTAGCTATACTCATGTTTAAGGTTAAACATGGTCTTTGTCCTACATATATTTCAGATTTATTTACAAAACCCAATAGTCTGTATAATTTAAGGAATTGTGATTTTAGCAGACCCCGATTCAATAGTGTTACCTATGGTAAGCATTCTATCAGGTATCTAGGGCCGTTTTTATGGGGTCGTTTGACAAGGGACCYTATTAGGGATGAATCTATTTTGAAAATTTTTGAAAAGGAAATAAGAAATATGGATTTATCACCATTAATTATTTATGATTGTGGAGCTAATCGTTTACTTTGTAGTTGTTAAGTAAGATATTTTATAAATAAATATTTATATGGATTGTATTGATAACTCTTATCTTTTCTTTTTTATTATTATTTTGTGTCCTCAATTAGTATATTTCATGCTAAAGTATATTGACAAGTGAAGAAAGATGATGATGATGATGATGATGATGATGATGATGATGATGATTCTGAGAAAAGTGCGATACAAACGGCTTTCTGTGCCATGTCGCGATGGCGCTGTGTCCCGTATCATTTAGAAAAGTTCAGGGTTTCATATATTCTTACACTAATGAACAAGACTGCTGTCTAGGGCTCATCCGATAGCAAAACCTCCCCCCCCCCTCCCCCCTTGGGGTAACATGCAGTCATTAGCGTTTGTTCTGTCTGCGAGAAATTTGCCCAAAAGCGAATCGTTGTGTTACGATTTTTGAATAATAATTAGCGTCACTTGATCACCGTCTTGCTTATGTCACGCAATCCAGTTAGCAACGAGACGGCTTTACGAAGGACCGACTAAAGTTTGGTGRTCCTTGAATCTCTCCAAATTTATGTTTTGAGGGTAGTTCTAAATGTTATAGTTAACCCTGAACAGTAGCACGATGTTCGGGGGAAAGCGTTCTAGTATTCCTGTGCCAGGAACGACTTCAAAATCCARCATTCCTGTAGTCAAAAAGACAAACGGTAAGACAAATCCTTCGACAACATCACGAAATGGGTCAGAAAATACAAAATCCAGTATTCCTAGCCCTAATGGAAGATCTAATACGAGCCCAAGTCGTCCTAATGGATCTAAAACTCAGGTAATTTATGGATTTATTGATGCTATTCTTACTTGTAATCATTAATTATGATTCATCAGTGATTAACTGTAATGTAAAAGAATATTAACACCATAAAACAGCCATTTCCTGCGTAAGGCTCTAATGAGTCGTTTTGAGTCCAAGACTTATAAACTTATTCAGAATATTTCGAGATTTTTATTAATCTATTAAGAAATATCTCATGAAATTGCTTTTACAAGAGTGTAATGCTCCTTCGTGGTTCTTGAAGTGTTGATGAGACAGTTTGTTTACAAAGTAATTATTCCAGCTAATTAATAACTTGTTGCGAAGAATTATCTTGATCTAATAGATAGTCCTAGCTAGTCCTTCACGATACCTACCAGTTTATAAATCCTTCGTAATGCTCTCATCGTCTGATAAGCATTCTTAATAGTTMATTCGTTCTTGAATTTTTCAAGATAATTTTTTTATTGCGTAATATTAAGCAAAGCTTTAGCCATTATTTTGCTGCTATACAGTGGAATAAAAGGATCTCAAAGATTGCCATTATTTTATCTCGTAACATACCAATAAGTTCAATTTATATACTTAAAAGAAATCTCTTTTTGTCATCTGAAAGAAAGAAGTTTGTTAAAAGAAATTGGATATCCAGCAGTCGAAAGGGGGTTTGGACAACTCTGACCAACAAAAAGAAAACGTTCATTTGAACGTCTGACACGAACGATTCCTCAGAAAGTTCATGAAATGTGGCCAGACAAGTCTCTACTAAAAGAGGACGAGCTGAACTTCCATTTTCTCCACTTACATTTTACCACTATGCGCACAGAACCTCGAGCTCCTTTCTTTCCGCTTTAGAGAAAAATTGCAATAACATATGTACGAGATTTCCCCGGAGTAGCATTAAGTACCACGGTTTTATAAACTTATCGAATTCATGGGATTTGTCGTTATACAGGCAATAAAACCACCTAATAGGGATTTGCCTARTGACCCAAAGATACTGAAGGCGCAAATACTCGACTTACAAACAAAGTTGGGTGCCAAGGACGAGGCACTGAACGAGCTGAACCAGAAACTCACCAGGAAGGCGGAAGAATGTTCAGATCTTGAGGATGAGATGGATACTGTAAGAAGACGAAACTCCGTTGATCTGCAACAGGTAAAAGGAAGGAAGGAAGGAAGGAAGGAAGGAAGGGATATGATGGAATGGGATTCAGTGGAATGGATGCGATTGAATGAAAGAAAGGTAGGAGAAGAATGGAAGGAAGAGAGAAGAAATAAGGAAGAAGGAGGAATGGAGCAATGGGATACATGGAATGGATCAAGAATGAGATGGAATTGCATTGAAGAAAATTGTAAGATAGGAGATCAAAAGGAACTGAACAATCAAAATAATTTTCACTGATTTTATTTTTTAACTTTAACTTATTTTTAGATAACTAAGGATTACGTGGAGCTTCAGGAAAGATTCCAAGCTGAACAACACAAAGTCTCTGAAATGGAGAAAAAATATAGTGAAGAGAAAGAATGTTTGCAGTTGGAGCTTGACGTGCAGAAGGGTGAACATGAGATGGAGCTACAGATGTTGAGAAAAGAACTTATCGATGTAAGGAATAAGAGTGAACAAAGAGGTATCCCAGTAGACCCAGAAAGAACCCTTCTTGTGGCAAAYTACGAAAGAGAGATTCAAACTTTGAAGGACGAATTACAGCTACAGAGCCAGAAAGTACACGAAGCGACTGRAAAACTCGAACAGAAAGAGTTTGAATTGCTAGAAAAAGTGAACGAAGTGAAAAACCAGAGTGAAGCAAAACAAGAGTTCCTYGTTGCAGAACACAAAGCTGAGATCACGAAAATAAAAGAAAAGCAGTTGAGTGAAGTTTTACAGGACGGCGAAGAACAAATGGCTTTGGAATCACTGAAGCAAGAACACGAGACATATGTTAAAGCAATGAAAGACCAGTTTGACATCGATTTGCAAAAGCTTAAGAAAGGAATGGAAGAAGTGAGCAGGAAGGTAGAGTTGAAAGAGATGGAGGCAGCGGATGACCTCATGACCATGCGCAATGAGTACGAGACTCAAATTGCATGTTTGAGAGAAGAGCTCAGAAACAGAGAGGAGCTTCTAGAAACCACAGAAWCTAGAAATAATATTCTAGTAGAACAGTTGAAACAGGAACACAACCAGGAAATAAAGGAGCTACAAGAATCACATAAAAAAGAGATTGAGAGAATTCAACTTGACAACCAAGGGAGAGAAAGCAGTGAAGACTTCAAAACGGGAAACCTAGAGAATGAGTTGCAGCAGAAGAGACAGCTTGAAGCCTATGAACAGGAAATTAGGAATCTTAAAGCCGAGCTTAAGAAGGAAAGATTGGACTTCACTGAGGCAAGAGAGTTGCTTGAAAATAATATCACTGATATGGAAAATGAAATGAAGGAAAAAGAAGAAAAAATACGAAGAGAACTCGGTGAACAACACAAAAATGAAATTGAAGCTTTGAACGACAACCATGAAAAAATTCTTCAAGATAAGCAAAATTTGCACAAACAAGAAATGGTGGAAGTAAGAAAAGAAKATGAACAGCTTCTTGCTGAAGCTAAAGAAAATTCAAAGGCGGGAAAACAAGAAATCGATGTCAAAGTCCAGGAACAACAACACGAGCATGAAAAAAAAATTGAAGAACTTAAGTTGAAGCACGATTTGGAGCTAGAAAACCTACAGGAGACTTTGGAAAACTTGCAGATGGACCACGAAGAACTGCAGACAGAGTATGACTTAGTTGTCAACGATTTGGCCAGCGAATTGGAGACCACGAAGCTTAGAGTTAAAGGAGATAGACGTAGAAGCTCTGGAGTCTTGAAAGAACACATTGGTAAACTGAAAAACAGTAATGTTGAGAGTATCCAGCACCTGACCGAGGAACTGAAAGAATCGAAAAGAATCATTGCATCTCTTAATGAAGAGATATCGCACTTGAGRTCCAAAGAAGAGAAATCAGAACAGTATATGCGAAAGATTACTGATCTTGAAAAGGTTGTCAGTGAGATGGAATCCAAAGATGAATCCAAGGATCTTAGAGACGAGCTTGAAGAGCAGAGAGTGCTTGTGCAAAAGTTGCAAACAATTATTAAAGAGAAGGAAACAGAAGTTAGTAGAAAAATGTCAGAATTGCAGAACAATGCAAATGGAATACAGAATGAAAACGAGCTATTGCGAACAAATTTGGAGCGCTTGGAGAAAGAGAAAGAAGAACAGGTTGCTGCAGCCGAGAAGAAGATAACAGACTTGAAGGAAGACACTGAACGAATGCAACGAGAGAACGAAGAACTCAAGAAAAAGTATGAAGAAGAGAATCAAAGGTTTGAAAAAGAGTTTGATGACTTGCGAAACGATATGCGACAAGAACTGAGTCTACAGAGACTGAACTACGAAGAAACGATAGCAAAGATGAAAGATACCATTGAACAACTAGAAACTGAACGACAAGCAATGGAAGACGAACAACAAGAGCTCCAAGATAACCTAGRAAAGATTCAAAGCAGCCAGAAAGCTGAACCCCTTAACATTGCCAATGAGAGTTTTAGTATTTCGTCAGAGAATATCGACATGATTGGTGAAACCGAAGAAGAGTTGGAAAACACAGAAGGGTTGAAATACGATCAGTCCATGAAAGGAATCGTGGAAGAATTTGAAAATAAGGTTAAAGAACTTCAAGCGCAACTTGCTAAAAGTAATCAAGACTTAACAGCAAAGAGTAACAGGTTGCAGTCGGTGAACGCCGAGATGAATGTCCTGCGAGAAAACCTTGAGAATGAGAGAAGTGTAGTACAAAATCTAGAGGATCGATGCCAGAGACTGATCGAAAAACATGACGCAGAAATACAACAGTTGAGACAAAAGTTTCAAAATGGAGCAGAAGAATCGATGAACGATACGGCAGCTAGGGAAAAACAGGTTAAACAGGAATATGATGACCTAATTGACAACCTAAGAAACGACAAAGAAAACTTACTGGAGTCTAACAAGGGTTTTTCTGAGGAAGTCAACATGTTGAAGAAGCAGCTAGAGGATGTGGAACAACAGCTTGTAGAACAAGAAGCCAAACATGTCGCTGAAGAAATACAGATAACTGATGCCAGAAATCAAACAATAAAATCGATTCAAGATGAGCTAAGTGAGAAAAACAAAGACATTTCAAGTCTTACTTCAGTATTGGAATCTGAACGCAYTGAGCATGCGCGCAAAATACAGGACCTTGAATTTCTTGTTGAACAATTGAGTTCAAACGAGGACAAGGTCAAGGATCTCGTTAATGAAGTACAAAAACAGCAAAAAGAAAATGGTTCTCTTCGGAACGAGCTTGCTGCAGAAAGACAAAGGAATGAAGAAAGGATTGCAGAGTTTGAACGAGAAGAAAGGACAAAATCTGCCGAAATCGATAGCCTCGCCTCAATGGTTGACACAGAAAGACGCGCGCATAACCAGAAGATYGAGCAGTTAGAAAACGAAATAAAAAAGAAAGGTAGTGAAGTGAAGGCATTAAGTTCAATGCTAGAAAAGGAACAGACAAGCCACGAGAAAACCATCAAAGACACTCRGAAACATTTTGCAAAACTCTCGCAAGTTGAGAACAAAAACTATTCACTAGAAGAAGAGGTCGAGACGTTAAAGTCGAAACTACGTAAAATGAAAGCCCAATTGTCGAGAAAAGAGCAAGAAAATMACGAGCTGATACAACGCAATAAACAGCTGACAATGGATGAAGTAGAGGAGGTACAAAACCTTAACAGATCGCTCACAGAAGCTGAGATTCATAAGGGAAAGCTGCTTGTAGAGGTGGAAAACTCCAAARAAGAACTACAAAAGACTCAAGAAAGATACACGAAAACTAAAGATAAGTTGAAGACGATGAAGCAAAAATGGCAAAAAGATCACACCAAATTGGAGGAAATCTTACAAAGCCCTAGAGTGGATATGGCGCTACAAACCAACTTACTTGAACCCGAGGAGTTAGAAAATGCAAAGAGCCAATTGTCGGATTCAATGAGAGCGAACAGCAGACTAATAGATGAGTTGAAAGGTTCGAAGGAAGACTTAGACGGATTTAAGAATGATATGAATGCTATGAAGCGAGCCAACAACGTGTTGATAAAACAGAACCAAGTGTTATACTTGGAAACTGAGAGTTACAAGWACATTTTGGAAAACTTGAATTTGAAAATGGACCAGCTACGAGAAGTGTCAATCAAACTGACAAAAGACAATGAAAACCTAAACCTCGATAACAAAGAATTAAGTGCAAAACTTGAAAAAATTGAACTGGATCTTAGTAGAGCAGAAGGAGAGAAATCTYCTATTGACGCTTTAAATGAAAGTTCGAGGTCAGAACTGGAGRAAAAGAGAACGAATTGTTGTAAGTTAGAAGAAGAAAATGCGAGAATCAAAGATCAAAATGATTTTCTACTGTCTCAAGCCAAGCGTCTTCAGGAAACAGTAGACAAACTGGAAAACGAGATCAAGCAATTGAAACATGATTTATTGGTTAAAGAAGTGGATATAATCAAAAGAGAAAGATTGGTCTCCGAGATTCAAAGCGAATCGATGGAGCCCAGAAGAATAACTAGTTCTCAGGCCCCACTCCTGGAACACCTGTCAATCAACGACAGTGTGACGCAGAAGAATTATAGGAACGGTTTAACAGACCTAGAGGCTGAAAAGAAACCAGCCTTGGATGGATTAGGAAATCAAACGACTGATCTCGTGACTCAAATCAAGTCGCTCAAGGAGTCAGTTGGAAGTGAAGGAGATGGAGATAAGGGATATGTTGGCATCAAGAGCTACCAGGTACTGTATACGTCAAGGATGGAAGGGGGGAAGGAAGGGGAATTGAGATTTAAATTTTTAAAGAAAACTAATAAAATAAATAAATAATATTTATTTATATGACGCAAATTCAACATGGCGTTTTCAAATGCGCCTTACAAAGTCCAAATATATACACTACACTAATTGAATAAGTTTACAATATTAAATATTAARAAGAATAAGAATTGATACTAATATACTAAATGAAATATTACTAATTCAAAAGCCTACTATTACGATTAATGAGGGRAAAATAATAATGAAATTGCTAAAAATATAATTAAATTAAATTACTAATAAATGATAACTATCTAAAATACGCTCTTCTAAAAAAAAAATGTTTTAAGCTTCTTCTTGAAATTATTTATATTTACAAGGACTGAGAGAATCCCAAGTCTTGGTTACATTCRATTAATGGCGTCCACGCACGCGCATTGACCACGACAATATACATGGAGAACTGATAGCCAGTCACATGACGTGACTAACTGCGCATGCTCAGTTCAAGGAATTCCCAACCTACGATTGTCGTAAACTTTCCTTGATAGGCAGGCTATTGGTTCTTAATATTTACATGCTTGGACTGATTCTTTCCCCATAGGTCATCGAGTGGGACACAAATAATAGACCTGATGAATCACAGCAGTTCAAACAAGCACCAGTCAAGACTTCGGAACCTTTAGATGACAATCAACTCGCTAAGATCAAGCAACTGGAGTTTGAATCAAGTAACTACCTTGGTTCTGCTTACTGGGACACCATGAATTTCTTGAAGACGATGAAGTCATCAACTTGAACCTTTTATTTTCATTAGTAGTGCGCACGGTCAGCGGTCTCGCTAAAAGAGCTCGTAAAGTTCCTTCCCTGGTTTTTGACGAGTCATGCTGTAAGCATGTGTTCATTAGTAACATTTACTCCGATTTTCCTTGTAGTGAATTTAGCTAGTTAGACTTAGCTTAGACTTAGCAATCAGCTGGAAAATCTTGCGAATCTTATTACCAGCCTACATCAAACGTAGAAAAACTACCTCCATGTATGCGCAGTCATCGATGGAGTATTTACATGTACTCTTGCAACTTTGGCAGTCGGCTGGGAAGAACGCAAACGGACGACGGAAACTAGGTCTCTTGGAAGTAAGCCATATGGCGCGCGTTTGAATCATGTTAAAATGCGTTTTGGAAGTATTTATTGTGACCGGTCATTTAAATACCTTTTAGTCTTTCCGGAGTGGCAGAACACGTTGCATCATTGGGCTGTTTTGGGGACGCTTTTTAATACTTATATGGCGTCTTTTTCGCTTGCTGATACTGGAAAGGGATAYGAAACCTTTATTGCCTTTTTTCGTGCATGATATGCCAACTGATGAAGCGACAGTCTAGAGAAATTTTAGTTTGCGCAGAAACAAGTCGTGTTCAGAAGTATATCTAAGCAAGGAAAAYCCATGACAATCCAAGGAAAGCCTTCTAACGTCTTCAAGACTGGATAAGAACGAACACTTACGCAGCGCTAGCGATCCCAAGGCAATAAATTGAAACTAAGTGTGAATATTTGTTTAATAGCGAGTAAAACTAGTAAGACAAGCGATAGAATTTACACAACAAACCCATGAAAAATAACAATTTGTACTAAATAGCACTGTAAAAAAAGGATTTTTCACAACTTGGTACTGTTTAGATTGAGAACGTTTTTACTGGTGAACTCTACACGATTCAATTGTGTAATAAAAAAGAATATTGAATCAAGGACTGGAATGATTGATCGACATCAACAGATATCACATGAAAAATAGAAYCATTTATTTCCATAAAACATAAGATTTCTTTCAATTTAGATCAAACTCGTTAGCATTTTTAGCGATAAATCAGGTTACAAATAGAGTTTAAATTTCACTCCAACAAAAACATTTTTCGCATCAGCAACTGAACGCCTTACGCATGAGTACCTTGGTTTTTGTTAATTAAAGTTTTAAGTCAGTACCAATCATACAATCATGGCAAACAAGATTTTTCGTATAAACTAAATGATCACTCCTCTTTTTCCTGCCATTAGCCGTTCATTAAATCCACCCCGGCAACAAATATCTCACTTTGGACACCCAAATGGTTTCAGCTTTCAACCTTTCACAAAACACCAATGTACACATTATTCAATCAAAGCGCTCGAAACCAGAAGCCATTTGAGTGTATAAATGTACTTTAGCGCCTCCCACACACTGACGTGAAAAATCTTGTATGAATAATCCTTTACAATATGGATTGTACATAATTGTCGTCGCTTAAAACCGTTACTGAGGAGGAAGAACCTTTTCTATCCATTTACGAACATCATTAAGCTCCTGCGAAGATAAAAACAAAACGTTTATGGGGTTTGACATTAGCTGAAACGGTCGGTGCGGTTTTGGTATGGTTTGGTATGTTTTCTATGGAGAAAAACGGAAGCGGATACCAATCTATTTTTCAACAACAAATTTTTTACAAACTTCTTTACGCGTTCTTTAAGTTTTCATTACTAATTTTCAACAAAATGTACGAAGGTTGCAGAATTTCATACAGAGCCTAGTAGTAGCTCATCCAATCAGAACTAAGCATTGATAATATAACACTAGTTATATTTGAATAAATAAAGTAATACCATACCGCGTCACTGGAAGAGTGTGGTAATCCCTCGTAGACTTTGAATTCACTATTTGTGCACATCTTTGATAGCATTTTAGCAGTTTCCTCGCCGTATTTAAATTGGACAACAGGATCAGCATTACCTGGGGCAAAACAGAAAAAACCCTTCAGAAACTTAAAATCCTTTTTAAAAAGCAATTAAAATATCCATGTTATTGTCTGTGATTTTTTGTAAACAYTTCACTTATTCTACCTACCGTGACATTGGAGGATTGGTGTGTTTTGGTTTCCTTTTAGACTCTGAAAACAAAATAAAATAATTTCAATTATAAGATGTACAACTAGATTGGAAAAAAAGTCTATAGTGTACAGTGATGTAGAGGTAGTGTATTCCCCTCTCACGTCTAGGCTCTCAGGTTTAATCCCTKAGCTCTGCAWCACATGTGAATAGAATTTGTTAGGTCTCTCCCTTGATATGATGCTTTTTTCCCAACCTCTCCGATTTTCTTCCCTAGGCAAAACCTATTACCAGTCTACTAAATTCCAATATGATCTGTGAGTTAGCCGTGAGTTAGCCGTGCCCAGACCTAGCCCAGAGGTTCTTTCAGGATACCAATTAAATTTGAAAATTATTTGTCAATATTACAGTGCAAATCGAAAAACCGTGGGCACCTAGAAATATTACAAGAATGTTCAATAGCCAATCAGAAGCGTTATTGTTAAATCTTTCCATTATCTTGTGGTCAGAAAGTCAATTCTAATTGGCCAAAGAAGAATAGAACATTCCTAGAATATTTCTAGGTGCCCATGGTTTTTCGATTCGCACTGTAATATCATCTGACATACCRCTGGAAACGACCTGTGTAGTGGAAGCCATGAACTAAGTGCCAATATACCAGCCAGTTGTGATTTGGATGTGAGTGCTGTATATAGAGCTACGGCACCTCCTTGTGAGAACCCACCTGTTGAAAACAAGTCATTAATAAATAATTGTGTAAGAAACTAAAGAATTGCAACAATACACTTTCATAATTGAGGAAATTAGGTTGTTCTATTCTTACCAATAACGATTCTGTTGGGGGCGATACCATGTTCTTTCTCTTCCTTCTCAATTAGTGATTGCACTAGGGTGATTTACAAAGTAAAGCATTTAYTCACATTTTAATCAATGAAGCCCATTCAACTTGTGACAAGAATAGTTTATGATTGCAGAACATACCATATGCAGCACTGGCTTTAATATTCTTTTCGTCCTCTTCAGCCTTACTTGATAATGATAATGATCTTATATCAAACCTGAAAGAGAGAAATCATCCATCAACAATATTCAATAATACATCTACTATGTACAGGTATGTCATAAAGATATTCCAGGGGTTAATTGGGAACTTGCTTGCTCCCCCCTCCCCCTAACCCCCAGAGTCATTTTGTAAAATCTAAAGAGAAAGCTGGTTTCCTAGGTAACAGCCACCCCCTGGAAATCATCTTGGGTCTGACATTCACATGTATGTTCACCAGGACTTAAAGTAATGACAGGTCAACTGACAATGTCAGGCCAAAATTGGAACTTGTCCAGTCAAACCTTTGATTTGCCCATCATTTTGAGCAGTAGTAATGTTGAGCCAGAAACGAGTTATGTCCTAGCTAAAACTGAATCGGCAAGTAATGAGTGATTCTTATTTTAAGCCCTGCATACAAGACTTACCAAGCTGGCATTTCAAATCCACCATTCATTGTGACTTTCAAGGAACACCTAAAGAAATAGTACAGGCAGAATAAAGTAAGATAATGGAAAGTTAATTACTTGGTAAATTTCAATTGTTTATGATACACACTTTATTCCTTCAAGGATAATGAGATTATATGCCGTTATTCACTGTCACCCCAAAAATTAGTGATACATTGATTGTAAAACTTACGCAGTTGGACAAATGTATTTTATGTGGGGAGATTTGATRTTATTGAATGCATAACTCCAGCCATGTCTGTTAAAAATAATAGAAAATTGAAAAAAGAAGTTACCACTGAGTTACCATAGTACGAGACCACTTGTCTTTCACTAACAACAACTGTTAATGTGAGCCAGACTGATTTTTGAATTCAGCACTTAGTATTCAGAGTAGAAGTATTTGTGAAGCTACAACAGTTACTGTACTTTGAGGTTTACTTTTAATGGGTCTTTTCACCCATTCACAAGAGTTAGTAGTTCTAAATTAAGCCATCTTTGGGTAGAGAATAAAGACCAGCACAAGAATGTAAAAAGTGCTGGTCATCAGACAAATTGAGATATTGATAGAAAGGCCGATTTAAAAATCCTTTTTGTCCCACCACACTTGGGTTTGACAAGTCAAATATGCCTTGATTATCCTGGCTTATGGCCCGCTTAATGAAAAAAAGATTTGCATTCTTGAAATCAAACCAATCTGATCCTGCTCCTTCTCGCATAAACCACAAAACTGACACTTTAAAATATATCAAATACTGTCAAACAATTTATCTTACTTACCCTGTATCTCCCAAGCCATGAAGAAAAATAATCTACAAAAAATAAATAATCCATATTATATATTACAAGCATACCTGGTGGTTAAGACCTGTTTAATATACTTACTATTGGAATCAAACATGCAAGCACAAGGACATAAAAAGGTTTAAAACTTCATTGAAAGTCTTTTATGACTTTGAAGTGATAAGACACATATCATCTCAAAAAATATTTTATTACAAAATTACTATTTATAGAGGTAACTGTGTGAGTATAAATATACAATATACAGTACTGAATTAATACAGAATGTAAATGGTAGTTATGCTGTGTGCATACGTATAATTTTCAAATTTCATGCTTTTCATTGTCTTTTAGTACTTATTCATCCAATCATATTGCTTAGTTATGGCTATGAAAAGATATGGTACAACTGTACTACAATACAGCTATTAATATAATTTGCCATATTGTTTCCTACTTGCATGAGAAATATAGGCAACTGAGCACTATTTAAGAAAGAATTGCCGCCAAGAAATTAAAGCTACATAATAATTATATCTTATATGCCTTTTACATGTGCCAATTTGCCTTTTAGGGAAGCATGGGTGGCGTAGTGGTGAAAGTGCTCGCCTCTCACCAATGCAACCCGGCTTCAGTCCCTACAAGCTCGGTGTTGTATGTGAGTTGAGTTGTTTGTTGGTTCTCTCCTGTGCTTCAAGGGTTTTCCAGGTTCTCCAGTTTTCCTCCCTCCGCAAAAACCAACTTCTAAATTCCAATTCGATCTTGGGCTTTCACCTAGCATGGATCTGAGGGTTCCGGTCGTGATTGTCCCACTCAGAGACAAATGACAGATTTACATGAGTCTGAAAACATAATTTCCAGAATAATTGGTAGTGATATACAAAAATAACGACTTCTAAATTCAAACTCGACTTCTTGTGAATCTGGCTAAATGGGTATTAATACACGCGAATGAAACTAATCCATCCAATCTCCAGGGCTGACAACCCCCGAGATATTCAAATCTGGAGAATTGATAGGGAAGGGACATGACGTCACAGCGTGTCAAAAAGCGCGCGAAAAGACGTCTTTTGCTTTGTAACATTTGATATGATTGGTTTATTTCTGACCAATCAAATTATCGCTTACATTACAATGGCCTGCTTGCAAGAACAGTCACGAGGAACGTTTTGATTTTGTTAGCGATGTAAAATAACACAAACAACATAAAATAATTGGAATTTTATGGTTGTGAAACTCGGGTCTCACAAGAAATGGTCAGCTTCGGGGATTATCCGGGAGATTTGAGACTCTAATCTGGAGACCGGGAGATACGGTCCAAAATCTGGAGACTCCCGGTTTATCCGGGAGAGTTGACAGCCCTGAATCTCGGAGTGTTGGTGTCATTTAGAAAAATTTTAATTTAAATCTAAGGAGTTTTATATTTGCCATGATTAAATAAATCTTAAAGGTAAATAAATATCTAAATACAAACTATTAAATACAGTAGCATGATTTCAAGTACAGTATTATGACAAAAACCATTCAAATTACATTCAGACTTTATTTTTTGAGAAAATATTAAAATGCTTTTGTGTTAGAGATATAATTTTAAAATCCAAGGGTCCTTTGCCTCAAAATGAAATGATTTTTCAAATTATTATTTATGATCAATTCATATTCCTTAAAATACAGTGTATATCTTCATTACTTCACGAGAATAAATGTTTGATGTTTTCAATAAGGGCTTTCATATTCATCTTGCTTCAGTAATTATAAAAACCTTTTACGATATGATTGTCAAAACAGCCTGAAGTTTTCTTGAGCCACATTTAACCTCTCCAAAAACAAAAAAAAAAACAAAATAAAGGAAATTGTCCTTGTGTATATATGCACATTAATGAAAAATATCTCTTCTTTACATTACTGCAGTAAAGAATTGCTTTATAATATCTTAAATTAAGAAAATGATGYACTGCAAAAATATTAATACACATGAGAAAAAATTTAAACCTACTTAGCATGCTACTAATATAGAACTATAATTTGCGTTTAGGGGAAAATGGGATATTTTCTTTTTATTATATAATAAAATAATAAGCAGAACATTCTGCATAATTATAAAAAATCTTTGAGTAATATTACAACAGAGGTTCACGCAATTCAAACAATTATTTTTCATGGCCTGAACTCGGCATCTTCCTATTTCCTTCACTCAGAAACATTTAATCTTTAGGTTTATAATATACTAAGTGGTACGTTTCCGTAGCAGTTACTTATGTTATTATATTTTGATCTTTACAAAATCTTTAAAGAGCTTCCAGTTGGTATAGTTMGCCAGATTATTTTTTTAGATATTTTTTTTATTGCTTGAAATAAAGAGATTTTACATAAAAGGTTTATCAGTTAACTTATGTGTACTGCAAGCAGGTGGTAATATTAAGAATTGGAGGCTAGCTAGGCTAGCGACAAAAAAGTGTKTACACAACAGCATTAATATCTCTTGTATATTCCTACAAAGATTTTAATCAAGTCACATGCTTARACCCACTTGAAACCCTCAAGTAAAATGCCAAATGATATTGAAGAATTCATAACATTCAYAAACATATACTGTGGACATTTCTGAAATGCAGGAAGTTATATTCCTTTCATTCGCAACCAAAAAATCACTTCTATATGTTGATGAATTATTTAAAATTTATGTTTTAAATAATCTATTTCTTTTTTRGAGATTTTCAAATGGTTTGAATTTTTGAAAGAATTTTTTAGTTAAAATCTGTGTGATAATTCAAAAAATATTCTGTTTAAGGATACCTAGGATGTAATCACTAAGGATTTTTAACCTGCTGAGTCTTCAACATTTGTTATCACAGGAATAACAAGACAAAAATTTGCATTTTTGACTCTTGAGATTTAGATACCAAGAAGTTGTTTGATTTTCTCTTTCAAACCCAAACAATTCCTGTCAATGACCATCTAATGATTTGAAAATCATCATTGAAAATTTCTTTTTTTCTTTTYTTACTCTAGTGTTTTTGAAATGGAGGAAATGGCAGCTGCATATGTGGAGAGGATTTTTCCTCATTTAGAGAATYATTGGTAAATTTAAATTTTAAAACATCTTAAAAACTCAAACAAATTAAACCAAAAATGCCTGGCCGGTCGCACATTTTATCTGGGTTATTCATTGTTTGCTYATTCACAACATTTCTCCTATTTCTATTCACTTAAATGTCGAGTCAAAAAATAATCTTTTTCTAACAATTTGTTAGTCAAATTATTAAATCTGTACCCAGGGTTGTCATCAGCTGCTAAAAGATSAGAAAATATCTACTCACTTGTTTGTTCCTTCAAACCATTCATTTAACCGTTTCTGTTTTTTGGTGGAAAAGCTAAAAATTAATAAATGAAAAGAAGGCAAGTAGCTCGGGGCAATCTGGTCAGCCCATGGATAGTTAGATCGATTCTTGCTACAGGCGAGAAATATGATATATGGATGTTAATACAGAACTAGTGTTAGGTCTTTGTAAATGTCCTATCTACCCTGTTTCCTTAAATCTAATCGTCGACATACGCTTGATAGCATTCATATAGTAGTTGCAAAACATCAATCGATTCATACAGTATCAGCAGTATACTTACTGTAGCCGTGTGCCTTGCTGTAGCACCGATAACTACAGGAGAAGGAAACGCCATCTCCTGAATACCAACCTCGAACTAACCCGTTCAATAAGATCTAAATCTGAATACACGAGAACGTGGCACCCGAGATCAATCCACAAAACAAGCAGTTCGCTTTACAAGCTTCCTCGCCTGGTATTGACGAAAAGGCTGGGTTGAAAATACAAGATCTACTGGGCCCTAGATTAATAAATAATAAATAGATTATTACAGTAAATTACCAAGAACTTTGATCAAACGTTCCACGCATGCCTAATAGTGGTCGTCAGCTGATTAGAGTTCGTGCTGGCTCAGTTCCCAAGATGGCGTCTGAAGAAAAAGTACACGTGAATAAGACGAACAGAAAAAGAAAACATGGCACTCTATCTGCTGGTCCTAGCGCTAAATCATCACCCTYTTCGAGCTCCACGGTGAATGCTCAAGCTCCAAGGGGTATAAATGTTGTAGAATTTGCAGAGGCAAGGGCGCTAGAGCTGCATAATATGGTAGAAGGGATGGCAATGGCTGACAGGACGGGTAAGAAGAGATTGTTCCAGAGCCTGCCAAAACACATGAGGCGAAGAGCTATGAGTTATAATGTCAAGAGAATGCCTGTTAGGCTTAGAGAACAGGCTAAGAAAGAGGTACGTCTGATAACTGATAGGGAGAAAGTGTGAAAATAAATTGCATTCACAAGCTTCACAGAAGGTCAGCAAATCTAGTTTGTAGCAAAATGCATGTAGCAGACATAGAGGGGACAGTTTTGGTTTTAATTTCTAGAATTTTAACTTGATATAAAAAAACTGATTTGTTGCTCAAGTCATGCAGAAGTAAGACCAATAAAGGTGGAGAGAGGGACCCCTGCAAACTCCCATCCCTTTTCCATCCATCCCTTTTCCATCCATCCCTTTTCCATCCATCCCTTTTCCATCTCTTTTCCATCCAACCCTACATTGAATATGCAATTTTGGTTTTACGTAGAATATGTAGTGATGTAGTTATTTCAAAATCCAATGCATGGTTTAGATCAGGGTAATTATTAACTGTCTAGATGTATAGTTTGATCAGTATATAAACARCAACTTATTGATCTTTAAAAATATTACATCTAGATGGAAAAGAATAAGTTGGATGCCAAAACAACTAAAAAAAGTAGAAGGCAAAGACGTAAAGCAAAAGAATTACTGGAAGATTACAATCGTAGGAAAAAACAGAATATCTGGCTAGAAACACATATCTGGCATGCCAAGAGAATGAAAATGGTGAATTCATGGGGTTACAGACTGGCAGAACATCCTTCTGATAAAGGATTCAGAGCAGCACATAGAGCTGCTGCTAGCAACTGCCTCCTTCAGGTAAGATTACAGTATGTGGTTCTTGATTACATGAATATAAAGTGTACTGTATATACGGTGATTCAAAATATGACAACCGATTTGAATAACTATTGTCCTGCACTGACTATAGTGCGACTGACTAGCTATACGAATTCATGTGGAAACATAAAAGCGTTTTCACATGTATGAGAGGCTGGTCACTGTAGCTAGTCAGTGTAGAACAATAGTTATTCAAATTGGTTGTCATATTTCTATTCAGTGTATAGCAACGTCACTGTTAGAAAAGTCATTTAGGTTTCCTGTGTTAGTGCCTGCAAGGAATCATGGGATACATCATGGTGTGATAGGTTTGTAAAGGAAGGAAAGCTGGAGAAGCCAGAGAAAATCCTTCAAATAAAGAAAGTAACAAGACCAACTTTACTCACATGTTCTATATGGTGTACGATCCCCGCCAAAATTCGTGCCTTGAATTTGACATTCAAGTTTCAAATTCTACATACAAATTTTACACTCGACATTCAAGTTTCGAAATTTACGCTCAAGTTTTGAACTTCCGCATTCAAGTTTTATATTCTACATTCATGTTTTAAATTCGACATGCAAGTTTATATAGCRTTCGAGAATTTATAAGTAATATATACAGTATGAGTGGCCGTGTTGTATCTGATATACAAACTCGAGGCGTAGCCAAGAGTTTGTATGATACAACACGGACACGAATACTGTAGATTGCTTATCAAACGTCTAGGTTAGTTCCTTTGTGTTTCACTAAAATTTTCAAAATTAAAGTGAATTTGCCCAAGAAAATCCAAGTTAAAGTTTATGCAAATGAACACGATTCTGTATCTGATTTACAGAACTCTTCACTCTTCATGGTCGTGATTTCTATTGTGTTTTCCTCATGAATTATTAATGAGGTTGATAACTCTTCCGAGCTCGAAATAATTCTGGACTCGAAATAATTCCGAACTCGAAATATCCAAAACTATTTCGGAAAGCAAATTCGGAAAGCACATTCGGAAAGCTTTTGAAACCGAAATTTTTTATGGATGGCGCTCCATAGGCGTCTTGCGTCTTGTTTCTTGTTATGTGATGTTTACTCGCCCCGTCAAATCTCAAGTCGGATGCCGCAATTTTCAATTCCAAGCTGTGGACTGAACTACCTGAACCAGTACCCTATATATGACTGATCTCCAAGTTTGGTATTCGAGCGTAAAAACGAAAATATAAAATATGATGCGGTAAATTGCAAAATGTACCCAGCGTGTGTCGAATACCAAATTTGGAGGCATCCGACTTGAGATTTGACGGGGCGAGTAAACATCACATAACGAGAAACAAGACGCAAGACGCCCGGGAAGGCGCGAATAAAAATGTCGCCCATTGATGTAAGATACAAAAGAAGAGTTATAAATTCTCGAACGCTATATAAACTTGCATGTCGAATTTAAAACATGAATGTAGAATATRAAACTTGAATGCTGAAGTTCAAAACTTGAGCGTAAAATTCGAAACTTGAATGTCGAGTGTAAAATTTGTATGTTGAATTTGAAACTTGAATGTCAAATTCAAGGCACGAATTTTGGCGGGGATCGTACGCCATAGTTCTAGCCATGTCTCTACAGTTGCATACAGTCTACTCATCTCATCTCACTATTTTTCTAATCATCCCCTATGCTTCTTGTTTCTAGTATGGTCTCAGGCTAAATTCTAATGTAAAGAGAGTATTGTTATCTCAGTGAAAAACAACCTTATGTTTAATTTTGTAGGATATTTCCTATTATGGGTGCATCGAAATAAAAGGAAATAGAAAAAACATTCTATCTGCTATGGGCTTGCTTACAAGAACAGAATTGGGTAAGGTTCAGAAGGAAATCATGCAGTATTTGATTTGCGACAGCAAAAATGTAAAAAGTTAATGCCTAGATATATTTACCTTTTAACCAAAACCACAAAACTATCTCTGGGCTGATCTAAGTCAGGGCATATCAGATACATATAACTACCTCTTATATCGCAACTTATATTGGAAGAGTAAACATCAATTCTACTTTTACGAGATTGCAAGCACCATTGCATGCAACGGTTCAAAGATTGGTACACACCACAATTTCATTTTTTTGATAGAAACACTTTTTACTGATAAGAGCTTGCATGACAATGAAAAATTAATAATTGTTACCTTAATTTATTTATTATTTCAGGTCCAACTATAGGATCTTTAGATTGTATGAACACTGGTAAGGAGGGACATGTGGTGTTATATCACAAGGACTGCTATCCTTTTGGAGCTGTAGGACCAGTATCTTTTTTATGGAGACAGGACAGACATCAGAATGATGGAGATATCTTTATTGATGATGGTAGTACTTCTCAGTCATCTCAGCTATGGATCTGGGCTCATCCCGCTTGCTTTGCTGTAGTTTTTCAAGCAATTCAAGAAGCCTGTCAGAGTGTTACATCAACAGTAGTTGTACAAGACTGTGCTAGCCAAAATGATAATCCATCAACTGAATCACAAGAAATGAAAACCAGCCCCACAACAAAGCAGGGACAACATATCAACATATCTTCTTTAAGATTTGATTTGGCCCGTTTTCGTCTGACGGGACCATTATCACACTCCTTACTTGTAAACATGTTAGAGCTTCCTGGTGAAAATAAACCAGTGCAGAGAGAAAAATGTTTAATGCATGATGAAAGCTTCCTAATTGAAAAAGATGAACAAAATGCCATTAACACTACAGGAAATGAGACTACAAAATGTGGATGCACTATAAACAGTGACACTCAAGTTGGTGCATATGAGGTAAAGTTATTCAACAGACCATTTTACCTTTTATGTAATGTCTTCCCATTTCAGACAATGTGTCATCATTCCCTACAGAATGATTTCTTTGTTTAATGGTGAAGACAAATGAGAAGACACATGAATGTGGATATAAATGAATTTGAAAAAATGGGATATAATGCAGTTGGGACTGGGATTTTTTTCACTGGGATGGGAATAGAATGGCTGGCTCGAAATTTCCAGGTTGTACATGTTTTCTTATTTTATACAGACCATGTATCATTCCACTGAAAATCTTCTTTATCTGAAAACTGTTTGTGGAAAAAAGAAAATTTCTAGAATTTTATTCCATTTTATTTCAACAGTCTGCATTATCGTCTGAAGCCTTCTGGGAAAGAATCAAGTCATCCAGCACTTCATCAATTCTACCAGCTTACACTGTCATTGGACTGACTGTAGTTGATCCAAGACTTGGAATGCCTGGAATAAGAACAAGCATTGATTCCTTCCTTACAGAACAACATAATAGAAAAGGTACAACATTCATGAATGTAGCATTACCTAACTTAAAGTGTAAGTGAATTTCATGCATGTATGCTTACTCAAAAAGAATGGAATAGCACATTGAAGGGCTCTTCCTTGTAAGAAAGATAAAAGCATTGAGCATTCATACTTAAAATAACTGGCTGTTATAAGCCTTTAGATTTATTAACCAAACATTTGGTTTAGCTTAAACATTTATCTATGACTCCAGTATCTAACAAACTTGTTTCTTTATTCTCTACAGGAGACATCCCTCCATCCCGGTCGTCATCAGACATGTTGTTCACCAAGTGTCCTCCCCATATAGCTACATCAAGTATCTGGGATGTTAACACCAGACAAAATGTCAAGGAAACCAAAATAACAGAACAGAACCTTAACCAGATGCGCTCTGAGCTTCTTGTTCCAGGCTCTAGGCTAGATCTAGGAGACAAGACATCACATATACCTGTGCTGTTGGTTCAACAACCTGGATCCAACGGTAGATAAAACTGGAAATTATTTGTCATTACAATATCATTGAAATTATGGAAAAATGGAAGTACCTTATTCATATTTGTAAACTAAGTGCGTAACATAATCGAGGCCAGTTGTCTAAGAGTACAATAAATGCGGGGGGGGGGGGGGGGGGGGAGCTGAACTTGTATTAGTTATGTTGACTTTTCAATTTGATTTGGATTTACAAAACGACTATTGAGATCACAGACTTTAGTAGAAAATAGATAAACTTTAGCGAAAGACAACAAGGCTTTTCAAGATATATCTCTGAACGACTAGTTATTACTATAATGATTGGATCAATCAATCTCGAAGTCTACTTTTCTAACTATTCTAACCAATTGTTTGGTATTTTTCTTTCAGGGTACGCTGGAGGATGGGATATTATCCTACCTGCTGGCTGGGCCATGGCATTTTGGATGGCCCTTGTATACAGGGGAGCACGCGTAGGGGGCCTGAGAGAAAGCAGAAATTGTTCCCTTGAGTGCGAGGAGCCTTATTTTCCACGTGATGTACCGGATACTTGCTCTGGTAAGCAATACAACAGAGATGTGCAGACGGAAGAAGAGAACAGGTATAATCGATACCCACCAGCAAAACGACCCAATTACACCAAATTAGGCTTTTTATCACCTTTCTTTATTCCTTGGAGTCAACTAGTTGAGGAATGGAGCTTAGAGGTGTTGAATAATGAGGCAGTACCAGATGCAAGACTAGATCTACATGACCTGTCTTTGGGTAGACAAGTAATCGATAATGTGTCGCCAWTGGGTAGACAAGGAATCGATAATACATCGTCGGTGCCCCAACAAGACATCAAAAATGTGACGTTTGGAAGTCAGGAAATCCATCACTTGGCGCCGTTGGACCACGGGCAGCCCAAAAGTGAAACTTCACAGACCGGAGAAGAAATAGATATTGATATGAATATGGAGAGTAAACCAACCCGCCACAATTCAAATCTAACGTTTTTCGTTCTACGAGATTTATCTCAGCTACGACTTCTCCGTAAAATTATTACAAGCCTCCGGTCTAAAACAAACCGATGTAAACCCTCTGATACATCGCACAGCAAACTAGACATCCGACCACTAGTTGATACCATGACCAGCAATCCACGAGGCTTGGTAGGAGTTTCTTTGCGCATGTTGAATAAAGGATACCCGCTGCCCAATGCTACCGTGTCTATCCCTTCTGTTGTGGATATACAAGCACTTGAACAAGATAAGGCCTTTGGGGGTCCTGTGGAACCACTTCATAAAGGCTCCACTAATGTTGCGGAAAAAAACATGATGATTGGTCGTTGTAGTCGTAAAGTCATCGGGTTTGTTACATCGGGACAATATTCGCTCTCGCGTGGATTTGGAGTAGGGATTGCTTACTGTGCCCTCCCGGGGTTAGTAGAATTATTGACAACCAGAGACCAAGCAGTCGTTCTTGTTCGTAATACGAAATCTCTACAGTATAGAATGGCATTGATTGAAAAAGTGCTGTAAACCAAAACCAAATAAAACTTGAAATCAAACTGTCTAGAATTTAGTGTATTTGTACTTTTGAAGACCTTTTTCAATACCCTGAAACAACCTCTGTGCTGATCAAACGTTCACCCCATGTGTAAGGGAATCCGGAATCCACGAAATTTTAGGCTTTGGAATCCGGAATCCAGCACTTTGGGATCCGGAATCCACGCCTTGGAATCCGAAATCCAGTTTATAATGGAATCCGGAATCCACCCTTTTAGATTCCGGAATCCGCTACTTTGAAATTCAAAGTATACACTCAAATGCTATCGCCTCGACCTAGACTGAACCGATGTAGCCCCTCCTCCACTGTGTAATATTTCCACCAAGAATATCTGTCATCGGATGCTACTTATACTGGCAAGTATATCAAATATAATTTTCAGGGAAAGTATCTGAAAATTAACGATATGGAATCCGGAATCCGCAATACAAAAGTTTTGGAATCCGGAATCCAGACCCTTAGAATCCGTAATCCAGAGTCTCGGAATCCGGAATCCACCATAAGTCCGGATTCCCTTGCATGGGGCGAAAACGTATTAGTCTTATGTGTAGCCAGAAAGATAAATATGGTGTACCGGAAGCAACGACGTGTAGGTAACGCCACGGGAGTTAAATTTACCGGCAGAGTTCGAGAAAAAGGATACTGAAGTTGATAATTGTTTAGTTTAATCATTTAGACTTGAATGTCAGAGAAAAGACGAAATCTCTGGATAAAAAACGTTTTAGTATTACTTGCGCCAATCTGGCAAACTTCTGGTCGCTAGGGCAATCACAGCACTCGAAACTATAGTGCAGTTTTCGTATGACTGTGAAAAGTTCACGGCACGAACACGGTCGTGACACAGCAAGGGATACGCCAGACAAATAACACTGCACGAGAATTTACTCTCCATCCAATCAAATACCCGGAACACGGCATAAACACGGCGCGGACACGGTCACGCCAAGATCACGGCACTTTTAGACCAATCATATTGCGCGTGGAAAAAAATCAACCAATTAAAATTCTAGAAAGTATCACGGTCACGGCACGTCACTGAGCTTTTCACAGTCATACGAAAACTGCTCTATTCAAGTCTAAAATTATATCAATTCAAATTATCCCTCCATTTTCCTTTTCGAATTCAATTGGCACAGACGTCTCACTTGTCATTCAACGCGGCAAACTAAGTTAACGTTGGACTCTGAACCGAGTCACCCAAGCTAATTTTACCGGCGCGAAAAGGTACAATGTCTACAATCGTGTGGGAGATATGTCGTCAGTTTGAAATCATTTCAAACTATTCCGTCCTAAGCTAGTCTATTCCTTGCGTACTATGGTTAATATGTTGCCTTAGCGAGTGAATGAATAGCCGTTATAAATAACCTTATCTTCATTAAAACAAATGGTTAACAAAAGGAAAAATCCACATGAGGTAGAAAAATAGAATGGAGGTTACGTCAATAACTATCACTCATAAAAGAGTGAAACAATGAAGAAAAATTAATATTTAATGTATTCCAGTCATGTCTTAATTTAACAGACGCTAGGATCGAGATTATAGAGTTAGGTTAGGCTTTAAATTTTAGCACGAATTCAACAAAAAAAAAAACACAACACACACACAACACGCAACAAAAACAAAAAAGAAAAAAAAAAGAAAGAAAGAAAGAAAGAAAGAAAGAAAGAAAGACTGCACTTAGGACACAATACTAATGTTTTCTCTTGCATTGGTTGCTGGGAGCGTGTTTAGTTCCAAACATACTCTTCTCAATAGAAACTTGAAAATAAAGAAATCAGTTGATAAGACATTTTGGGTTCCATAGAAACGAGTACGTCATGTAAATGATAATTACTGATTATATTACTGTATTCAATTAATGAACTAAATTATTAATATATCGGTACATATCAATGTACATGTGAAGCAAAAAATCTAAGGAATGATATTATTTCATTTGCCTCGCGATTGAGGGTCATTTGTAGAAAGACCGCTAAGTGAACTTGTTGTCAGTTTATTTTCTCATGCGTTTGCTTCGCTAGTGGAAAGGAACATCTTGTTTTCGCTTTGTGTCTTCTGCCATTTACATAAGGTATGTCAAACTGAATAGAGTTATTAATACATGTCAAAGAAACGTCTTTTCAAAGTAACGACGCTCGTGCTTGCCATCGTCATTTCCAACTGCGTCACCTAAATTTGGAATTGCTTAACCAGTAAAGACTCGAACCAGCTGCATGTAGCATATTGATACCTTGCTAAGTCTGGTCAACTGAAGAGTTATATGTGTTGCCGCCATTAGGGTTGCCGTTGATTAAAGCACGATTTGATATCAATTGTGGTAATCCACCTCTCTAATTCTCGTTACGCGTTGGAATCATGCAGTTGTCGATCGAAGGGCAAAGAGAAGGAGACACTGCGTTCGAGAAGTCGTTTGTCTTGCGCCGGCGAATTTTACTAAAAGTGTTCATGCACAGATAAAAAATGATATCATTAATTCCATTAAAACTGTTGTGGCTAGAATATACTGAAGAGCCTGCCTTAGGTGGTCGGTCTCCAGACGCCTTTTAATTCTGTTCGTAATATACTCGTACGGTAATATTTCCGACTGTATAAACGTAATTTTTGTAAGTTGTGAAAGAGAGCCGGTCGATAGTCCAGAAGAAGGTCGGGGAGTGAGGGTATACATTCTGTATTAGAGAATTCAGGGTCAAGAAAGGTTGAGGAATAAAAGATATATACTCAGTCACAGGTGAAGTAACTGTATTCAACGTCCCTAAACGATTCGCGCGCATTTACCTCTTTTTTCCGTCAGTTTTCTGACTATTTACGTGTATCTAAACCTCATCTAAGCCGGTTACACAGATGAGAAAGAATTCTAAAAACTTTAGAAGAACACTCGAAGATTGATCGTAAAGATACACCATTGAAAAATATGCCAACAAGCACTGTTAGGGGCAAATCCTTCTTTTGTCCGGCAAAAACCTAGCGCCAAAAGAAAATGAGTACAAAAAGTATTTAGCGGTGGGGAAAGTCCTGATTTTTTCCCCTGGAAATTTCTGGAAATAACTGAAAACGATGTCAAATTTTGTAAAGGGATAAGAGATGAGAGATCCTTTTCTTTCTTGAAAATTGTTTAACAAGTTTGAATCCAAGAACATGTTTATTTTATACTTTTGTTTTCATTTTTTTCAATCAAGATAAATTGCCATTATGAAGGTCGTGATGTATGTAACGTTTCTACTGAAGCTCCTGCTAAGACCCTTAGCAACTGCTGCATCTTCATGTCCTGCCAAGCAATATTCTGGAAAGTTCCAAGCTGAGGACTACGAGAAAGACAGAGCAATAATCGGCCATTCCTACAAGAACCTCACCATCGAGCATGCTCAACAGTGTTTCAGCCACTGCGTATCTGATTGTAAGTGTCTGTCCTACCAGATTTTTGGCAAACGATGTGAGTTGCTGGACGAAAACAAAATAACTGCAAACCTCCAACAGGCCTCGGGATACAAGTTCTACCCACTAAAACAAAGCTTTAAGGTAYGTTTATACTTGTATAGACTTTAGTTGGGGATTTGGTGCAGGAGCGGATCCAGGAATTTTAGAAATGGGGTGACTATTACCAAAGTTTTGCCAGGAATTTGATGAAAAGGGGGAATGACTGTTACTAACGATATACTGAAACATTTGAGCAAAAGGGGGTGACTAGTCCACTCCTGGATCCRCCCTTGTAGGTGCAAACTTCATGAGAAGGACAGCAACTTTTTTTCAGGCGGGAAAAAATGAGCCAACAATTTTTTTCAGCAAGCTAGAAGAGAGAGATGGAGATTGAAAATGACCTAACTCTCATTCCTTTTATTCTATACAAGCCAACCCCTGTTTCTTCTTTCTAGGTTTTCTTCCCTGCAATCCTCTGCCTGTTTCCATGAACCGATTAGTCTTGCTTTACTAACAGGCTCGAGCTGTTTTCTATACTTGTTGCAAAATTGTTGCAATTGATCTCATGGTTCTGCCCGTGTAATTGCATAATTGTCTAATATTTTTTCCAATAGAATAGTGGCGTAAGCTGTACAGGGGAATGCCGTAATGGTTGTTGYCATAGCAATCYSTGTATGAACGGRGGAACATGCGTGGAGACTTGCCAAAACGTCAATCRAAAATTCAAGTGCATTTGTCCATTGGACATTCAAGGTARATATTGCCAGTTCATAMTGTCATGTGCTGGAATTCCTGGAAATCCCAAGTCAGGTGTTCATACAATCACYAGRCCATCTTTGAACAGCCAGTTTAAAGTCTATTGCGACTTTACATCCGAGCCGAACTATGTCTGGACGCTCGTGGAATCTTTTGAGYATTCAAGGGTGAMGGTGGGAATAGCCTATTATGATGACTGGGAGTTCTTTAAAGACCATCCTGTCARTGAATCAAGTCCAAACTGGGTCAACTATCGACTGTCACTTGAACACATGAAACACATCAAGACAAACGCAACACACTGGCGTGCTACATGTAACTTCGAGTCAGCTAACATATCTACTTCTGACTA